GCCAGTGGGCAGTCAAATAAGAGACAAACTTAGTGTCTGTTCTCCTCAGGATCTGAAAATCGTGACGAAATCTACGCGAATAATGTTTGGTGTACAATCACTTACTTAGCTGCATTATCAACGCGAGTCATGCGGTGGAATATGTGCCGGCCGCGGTTGGAAATTGTCTGCAAATTTACAGCACCGCAGTGAAACGTTCCTGCTTTCGGATGGCTTGCAGTGCATGAAAATATCACAGCATTATATCACAGCTGAATAATGCTTTGGCAGCCCGCATCTGCGAAGTCAACTTGTCCATAACGAACTTTTTGGCCGCATAATATCCGGCCATCATATCTTAAAACAAGCCGAACGGCTTGCGCAATGGTGTGAAATGCTCGCTTTCGACGAAGGCATACATTACGGGTCGACCGATACCCATGCCATCCGTCATAAGGAATGTATAAAGCTTGTAACTTAACAATGAGCGTCAGGGGCTCTAAACTTTATTTCCCCGGTTGGTCCCGTGGGAAGCATCAACCTTAACAGCGTCCGGAAAACACCTAAAGAGTCCTATCTGTTGCGTTCGGGAAAAGCACAGGTGACTAAAAGTGTCACCCTCCGATTCCACCAGCAGTACGCGACCGCACTCTCGAAACTTGGCTATGATGGATGACATGTCATTTGATAAACCGAATAAAAGGTAACCACCGACCTACTTAACAATGGGGGTCGACATTTGACGCGATAGTTATTCACATCCTTGATAGTGAGTATCTTTCCAAAATGGTCGGCGACGAACCGCCGAATCTCCGATGGCGGGGCACCATATTCAAAAGGGTACCACACTTCTTTAATTCATCATTTGTCAGGCAGCGGTTGATGGGAAGCCTGTCAAAAATGGACTTGCTGCGGGGATGGTTGTGCTCCAGGTAGTGGGAAGTAACCACAAAGCGGTCATGTTACCGGCGAACATGGAATCTTGCCGGGCAACCGGTAGGACGTGTGCTGCCGCGTACACAAGAATAGCCATAAACTTACTAGATGCGACGAATTCCACGGCTTTGACTTCGTCTGCAGGGACGCCTGCTGCAACGGCAGAAGGCTTTTTCATACAAAAGTAGCGAATTGCTTTTTTTGGAGTTTATGCGGACAAAATCTGCGAAAATTTTGGCTCAGTACTCTAACAAAGCGACGTGAAATGCATTGAAATAGAAAAAACTTGGACAAGCCAACGTCTCCACAAAATCGCCCTCCGCATTCACGGGCGAAACGTGCTCAGCCGTGGCAGCCAATAAAATAAAAATATAAAAATATAAATATCGCGCCATAGTTGAACTTGGGTAGGTTTAAACAACTTTCAACAAAACTGCGGCCGTTTGGAAAGAACTCATACAAACAAATAATTACCATCAAAAGGTAAAAGTTTATGTTAAAGTTCCCCTCTTTCGAACCACGGCTTCAGGGAAACTTTGGCTGTGCGTCTAGGACGCAGCCGCTACAAGTCGCGCGATCGCACAAATAAGCGAAGATCACATCGTTTGGACGCCAGCGGCTAGACGCACAATGTATTTTTCTGCAAAACCCCTGCAGCCGAAATAAAAACTTTAACGTTAAAATGTTGCACCTTGCATATATGGCGTAGACTGAAACCCCCCTTATCTGCCGTCATTTCTTTGCGATTTGTTTTAATCGATGACATTTGGAAATTATTGGCGCACATTCGGCTTTGAACTTCGTCTGCTATGGCTTCGGAAGTAGCTTTCGTTGAGAAATTTGTGGGCGTACGTTTTCACCCATCACGGCATTTGAGAAGACTTTAAATGAAGGATAACTTTGT